ATCTCGATCAGGTTTTGTTCAGTTTCCCTGGTCCTTTGAGCAAATGCTGAAATGGCCCCTTGTTTGCTGCTGAACAGTAATATAACTTCGCTCTCTCCACCCAAGGCATCATACTGACTCGTCATACACAATTGTAATTGTATATGTGACTCCATAAATATTATTATTATTATTATTATTATTATTATTATTATTATTATTATTTATTATTATTATTATAAGTCAATCACCTTGACAGCCCTACAAGCTCTCCACCATAATAAAAAAAACCCACCTAGAGTAAAAAACTACGCTAACATAAAAAATAATTCTACCATACTTGAATGGTATTACGGACGTATGCTAAAAGGGAAAATGCTAAAAAACACGTTATCGATACCCTTTTGAAGCCTACAACCCAGCTGCTAATTTTGATAACGGCAAAAGATGCAAGAAACCCACTATCGTCAGCAGGAGTCAAAGAGTTCCATGTTCATGCAGCGCTGTATACATCGACCACTCAACGGAGCTTAAAATACCCGTCTCTCCGAACATGACCTGCCGTTTTGGCCAAACTGCGAAGTTCGCAGTGGTAATTTATCATAAGTGCTTTGGAAATTGTTGATAAATTTCAGACTTGCAAAGCGAAGGCCCATATAAAAATCACATTCAAATTTTATTCGAAGTATAGAGATCTATTTTTGGCTATTGCAATTTACAAATATTATAAGTTACGCTGCGATATAATAAAAGAAAATGTGTGAGAATATGATAATTTAAATTAAGATTTTGGCAAGATGTTAAACGATTATAGCATCAAACAAATAAGTTAGATATGACGCAATTCCGTTTAAATGTGGCGTGATTGTTGCATAATTCCAAGATTTTAACGTTCGCATACATTATTAAAAATATAAGGATCAAATTAAATAAATTACTTATACAGGCCTGGTTTGAAATAAGCGACAAGTATGTACATGCATTGTCAATTGAAATTAAAATAGTTTTAAAAAACTTGCTCCGACTGGGGATATGAACCGGTTTGTAATTTCAAAATTATAAACACCGTAAAAAATACTTGCAGGTATGAATGATGCTGAGTAGTTGGAATTTAGTACAGCTACGTCTTTTGCTAATGTGCACAAGAAATTATCGGTAAGCTGGTCTTTGGCGTTATTCCCTCATAAGATAATTTTCTATTAGTTCCAAAAATTCTGTGACAAAATTGTCTACAACTACATTTTATTCTTTAGCGAGGATGTAAATCTTTGTTTGAAATGAGTGCCCCCCGCTGATCAATTACCCTAGGCCCCTGATTTTCTTTGGGTGCTCCTTTCAAAGTGTTAATATTCTTTATCATAAGTTTCATGGTGGGGTTATTTTTATGCAAATTAATTGAACTGGATATAGCTGTTCCAAAAAGTTTGGAAGATATTATTTGATGATATAGTCAAATGAATGTAGCAGTATGATGGGTGGGAATAGTTGAATACCACTTAGAAAACCACTTTTCCATGGTCTTCATGATTCACTGATATTAACTGACTATTAATAGCCAGTTAGTAACTAATAATTTAGGTACTATACATTGTCCAGGAATTTTTTCAAACATCATTAGACAGGAAAAGTGGGGAATTGTATCTACAATCTTGACCTGCACTGCCCCTTCCTGCCTCTACACTGCTCAAACCCCCTCCAAGCTGCCCAGCTCCAGCTGGTTCCTCCTCACTCTTCCCTACCCCAACTTCCCTTGCATGACACAGACTCACTCTGCCCCAGCACACCTAGGCCTGCCTTATTCATTAAGATCACCACTGCTACGATGTTGTTGTGGATATCTGTAAACTGATGGATTGTTGCATATTCTCGCTACTCTACTTTTGGACTCAACTGGACTGTTGCATACGCTAGTTACAAGTTTGACTTGAAATTACTTCAACCATAACAGGTAATGGAATGAATTAAAAAGAATTTAGAACAAAATTTTATGAGCCTTTATGAAACGTTAAAAGTTGATTGACAGATTTCCTCACCATCATAGAAATATTGACAAAAAAGTGAAAGGGAGCACACTGAAATTTTGCTCTAAGGGGAAGGAAAGGCAAAGGAGCAATTTTTATGAAATCTCATGCTGACAGATTTTTCTCCGGTTTTGAAGATTATGTTTGCAACATTTCATTCAAGATCAGAAAAAATCTGGAGATTTGTTTAAAAAGAAATGAAGAAACAAAAATGCATCTCTGTGCAAGAGAAAATTTTAATTATGTAGATACACTTCTATGCTCTCAGACTTTATTTCCTTCCTATCCAAAGTATAGGTCTTCTCTTCACTGTAACTCTACTGGAATTGTCCTTTCCCTCTGATCCTCCCTTACTGTTGCTCAGAGTGTCGTGAGTCATGTGGCTCAAATTAGTGTCGTACTTGCGAACCATGACACTTCACAACACTAATTTTACATTCACTCCAGGTTCTGCTTGATTCACCAGTTCTCCTTCATTTTATTTCACCTTTACTCGTTCTCCTTTAATTTATTTAAGAAAAGGCTAAAAGTCATAAGGAGTCAACTAACTTCTGCCTTTTCTAAAAATAAATTTTTCACTTAGCTTCTTGCACTACATTCACAAGTAAATAACTTTATTTAGATTGTAATTTATGGAAAATGTGTATGGAAAATTCAATATTTTAATTAATATCACAATTAATACAATTCTCATTACAAGACAACTAGAATACACATTCATTACTTATCTCTCACACATACACACGCACTTATGAAATGAAATTAGGGTTACCACCTTTCCATATTGGGATTCCCGGACAAATAGAATCAGAGCCAAAAGGTTGTATATGCTATTAGAAATCCAATGTAATCAAGTTCCCACTGTTATATCTGAGCATTACGTGTACAACAGTTCTTTTGAGCAGTTTTACAAATGGGACATATACTTATTTCAAGAAAACAATGGACAGTAATATTAAACACCATTTAATAAAAAAACAACAAAGGAGAGTACTATTAAACACCATTTAATAAAATGCAATGGAGTGTACAATTTAATCACCATTTTGAACAAATTTACAATAAGTTCAATTCTGTATTCTGTTAAGTCTGAACTTCCATTTTACAAATACTTAGTCTACTTCTGGTTTGACTTACATGCCTTAATCAGAGAAGGCTTATTTTTCAGGTAGTCATAAATCTTTGAACATTCCATTCCCTGGTAATTTATCTTGAACTGTATTTCTGCCTTCACTGCGTTGACACTAAGCCTATTGCGATTGTCAGTCAATATCATTGCCATTATTGAAAATGCGCTTTCTGTAAATGTATTACTTAAAGGAAATGACAACATATACTTGACAATTACTAGTGTTAGGCAAAGACAATATTTCAATTTTTGAAAATATAAGGTCCATTTTCATTCACACTGTCTGATTAGAAATATCTTCCGGAAGGACATCCTTAATAATGAAATATTCTGATTAGAGAGAATTCATGACTACACAACTGCACAGTCTAAGTTTTAGTAACAGCTACTGCAAACTCCTTCCATTTAATATCTTCTGTAAAAGAGAAGACTTGGAAATGATGGAAAGGGTTACTGTCATTAAAATTAAACCACTTCTGGAGATATTCAATTACTTGCTCATAAAATATGTTTGACTTTGTTTGCAATTGTTGTTTCATTTGAGATGTAAAATGCTTGAGACACAAACTAACTTTATTCCCTTAGTTTTCATCATTTAACCTCTACTGTAGTTCTCGGAGTGGGCTATCTTAATGCACAGTATAACATTTGGCTAGCTCCAATAACAATATTTTATTATGTAATAATACTTATATAATTTCCTTAACATTCTATTATGGAAATTCCTGAACATGCCACAAATTAGTCCAAACTCCGGACAAATTTCATTATTCCCGGACTGTCCGGAGTAATACCGGACTGGTGGTAACCCTAAATGAAATGATACTTCAGACATTATTCTTATACTGCTTTTCTCAAACCAACACATCTCGTCAGTGAGAACAAGGCACAGAAATGTTAATTACTAATTTCATGATATTGGATGGAATACTTTTGATGTTATCTTAGTTTTTCAAAGTTAATGCAGTGAAAGTGAAGGACACTGACTTTATTAAAATGGGAATTTATCAAAATGAATAACAAATTTTAAATATTTTTCATTAAAAAACATATATTCATACATTTAAAATCACTTGTTTTAATGACATTACACTAGAATTAGGATTGATCTATTGATCATTATTTGTTGCCAAATTCATTATCTGCTAATCATGTTTACCACCCAACATTACATTTAGTGGAATTTTATTCCTCATTAGTGCAACAAAGCATCATTAATTGCTCAATAGTATGCTTTCAGACCCTGAGATTAAATTCTCAAATTAGCAATCACACACAGGAAGTGAAAAGTATTCCTACAGGGATGATTCCATGACATTGTCTTTTCTCTTGGGTGGCAACAAAGCATCATCTTCTGTCTCTGAAATGTTTTGGAGTAGGGATGTCTGTCTAAAAAGAATGTGTGGTTCTGTACCAAGCACAGGACTTTGTGGTGCACCACGCGTACTGTCACCCCCTGCTGAGCTGCCTGTGAATGAAGTTTTTCGCAGAGCACCCCGCTGCCCTGCACGTTCAAGGAGTGCATCAAGTCCCTCCATATTCTCTGGGAAGTAGCCTCCCAGTTCTGAAACAAATAATTCTTGTTTGGAAAATTTAAGCAATAATTTTACTGATTATGTTCATTTAATATTTAGCTGCAAACAGAGGTGGCAGAACAATAAACTACAAGGAGCAGAATATTTCAAACTATTTATGTCAACATAATTACTAGCATTAAAGATGTAATTAGAGATGAGATAGACATATTGTGTGCATTGTGATTCAAGAAAATTTGAATTATTGGTGAAATTTGAGATTCATAAAAAATTATGAAATGTTTTCACAACAAATTTGTGCTACAAAAGCACCTTGGCAGATTGCAGAGAAGTGCTAAGTATTTAGGAATTATTCACTGCTTCTATGGGAGTGCATGAGGAAAGATGGGCTGTTTTTGTGATAACCATAAAGTGCATGCTTGCCTGTGGCCAGCTCTGGCCTTATAAACCATACCATAAAAGCTGCCGGTTATTTCACCACAGTGAAACACAGGATGAATGTTGATTTAAACTGTGCAAAGAAGTAACAAAAAATCTGGATTTTCTTGAAACTTAAATTTTCAACCAAGAACAAACTCATTAGCCTGTGTATTAATTATGTCTTAAGATTGGGTACAATGAAATGTACAATAAAAAAACAACAACACACAAGAGTGTTTAATTTGCCCACCTGAATGAATCTGCCGCTTAGGCCATTGGAACTCATCCCCTATTTGTGGTGATGCTACTGGGTCTGACATAGCTGAAAGACGTTGGAAAGCAGCCAGCTGGGTGATGCGTCGAGCTGTTATATGTCGTCTTTCAAGATGTTCTTGAAGTTCCTGGCACTCATCAGCAATGAGATTTGGATTGTATCTCTCATGCAGCTGCAAAAGTCAACATAATATTTACATTCTCGTAGTATAGAAAAATTTACAAACCATTTTTGCAGGTTTACAAACCATTTAGTAATGGCAGGTTTTTGTTAATTCAAGAGTGGGAAATTCTTAAATGATAAGCATTTTGTACAATCATAGCAAGTTCTCTTTAAAAATTAATTTTAAAATGTTTTAAACTGCAGATTCCAGAGAAGTGTGGCAGCTGTTCATCAAAAGTTTAAAAATGCCCCAGATCTATTATATTTATGGTTACTTTACACTGCAAAAAGAAAGAACAAAATATATCAGACTTTATAATCAGCAGATTCCATGCATAGTATTTTAGTATTAAATTTGGTGGTCGGGACAAGAGTTGGGCACCACACGAAGTGTGTTGGACGTGTGATGAAAATCTCAGACCAAGAGGCAGAGAAAAATCTCTCAGTTTGGGAGTACCAGTAGTGTGACGCGAATCGCAAGGTCATTTGGATGACTGCTACGTTTGTAAAGTCAATATAGCATGCTCTAACAGGGAAAAAAATAATTTTCGAATCCTAAAATGAGGACCAGGGCCGGTTTAACAGCATTGGTGCCTTGGGCAACTGTGGCATTATCTAGGGCATCTCCAGTCAGGTTTACAATGACTTTCGACGAGGTGCTGATGCGTTGTTTCGGACGTTGTTTTGTTGCCGAACTGTCGAATTTCCTTAATTGCCTTGCCTATGTCTCTTCCTGCTGCTGAGCAGACCGTTTTGAGGACACGTAGTCCAGTGTGTTCCAGTCTTCGCATTTGAGTAAGTAGGCAAGACGCAGATTCAGATGGTACAATGTGCGTTCCGTGTTCGCTAGATCCATTCTGGTTTGATGAATCTGTTCTCCGTCCGTAACCAGCCGTCCGCAAAATGCAAGTGGCAGCTAGAGACTGCATGTGATGCTTTATAGCGCCGAATTCCGGGAGTACAACTTTATCCCTGCACGTCAGTACGAAGGCCAGTTGGCACTGACCAAAACCTTTATCACAAAACGATATTCCTATCACCAGTCACTGCATTAATAGCTTCTAGTGAAGAGGAATCCAATGTTCTATTAAGGCAAGATACTGATTACAGTGATTCTATGGGACTTAATGAGAAGTGGCAGTCACGCAATGCATTCACATCAAGCTTAGTTAAATGATCATTTGTGATGTACCTGATCATTATGTGCCCAATTCTTCAGCACAATTACTAGCTTTCCATTTGAAGGAAAATTATATGTTAGCCACTGGAACATTCATTTATCAAAACAGAACAGAGTATTTTCTAATGGTTGAGCAACTTTTACATTGTAACAATGTCAAACAATTAATTGAAGCTATGTGATGTATATATGTTGCAGAAGAAAAGAAGCTGTTAACACACAGATCAAAAAAGTTTGAAGTTTTTACTGCTAAACAAGGGCAAAATATTGGCATTCATTCCTCTTGGTCACTCCATAACGTAGAAAGCAACTCATGTTCTTGCAGGTCATTGCTGGATTATGGGTGATCTGGGCCGTCCGGGTGACGCCGCGTCGAAGACTGAGTTGCCGACGTTTCGACCATCCTGGTATGCCCTGCATACCAGCCCTGAGGAAGACCACGACAGGATGGTCGAAACGTCGGCAACTCAGCCTTCGACGCGGCGTCACCCGGTCAGCCCAGATCACCCACATGACTCTGGTCGCGGAAGCCTACGACTTCATTGCTGGATTAGTTGTGAAGATTTGAAAAATACTATCAATTTTGCTAGGTCAACAAGCAGAGTAGACAGGTTACCCATGCCACTTGTGCCTTTGGACCAAAAAAAGAACACTGGACAAGAAAATAGTGGCCTGCCTGGCTGATGTTCCAAGTCGGTGAGATTACCCAGAACGAGCGAATTTTTGATTCCCAGAAAATATTTTTACCCTCACTGCTCATAATATTGGTCTAATTAAGCAGTATGTAAAGCTTTTGGATACGGATCGTACTTTCACTACATTTGAACTAAATTTCGTGTTTTTACCTGAGAAAGTGAAAGCTAGTAGTTTTTTTAAAAGACGTTAAACAAGACTTCTACCAAAAGATGATATTTTCTTAAAAGTGTGAAATAGTGTTGTTTTTTCAAAATGATTAATTTATTAATATCATTAATCAATTACTGATGAATAACATGGGTGGCTTCCAAAACCATACACAGGATTTTGTCCTAAATTTCCCCAAATGTTCTGGCTAATGATGTATCCCCTTGAATTTGAAACCGGTCTTTTACGGGGGTAACTACCTACTTCAAATGTATACACGACTTTTTTAAATTTCTCAAAATTTATATAAATTTTACTCTCTCGCTACCGCTTACGCAGTAGATAGAAGGTTATGTAATAAGGCGGGGAATAGCTGTGAATTTGTAGCAGATAAACTCATTGTCGGGCCCTGCTAATGTAAGTTTCGTAGTGTTGCGCGTCCTTGATTCCTAAAAATTGATTGACGGCAAAACGTCTGTCTGTCCGTCTGTGAACAACGCTTGCGGCTAAACCGTTTGGCTGTTTTTCTCCAAAATTGATATTCTCCAATACAACTGTCTGATGTCGCGGATCCTTGAAATTGAAACCGAAATTTTAATTTTTAGGGTACTTTACATGAAGTCCCAGGGACATTTTCAAAATTTTCCTCAAAATGATTATGAGAGGAGAGAGTTCATTTATGAAAGTTGAAAAATTGCATGCTTGAAATGAAAATATTGTTCGTGCCACGATGATGAAATATTCATAATACATTTCCCGATAAATAATACTTACACATGTGAAAATTGCAAGTCATTTATGATTATGAAACTAGTTCATATTTATCAAATACCAGGATACGCAGGTCTTACTTTGCCTACCCCAAGGAGCCACCAATGCCTTAAATTATTAGGTAGATGGTTCATACATTTTAGAGATCTCAGCTTACTCCGCCTGTCCGTTCTGTAGATCATTACCACAGAACAAAATACAATTACTGACTCTTCAAAGATCAGAAACTAAATTGATGTACATTAAATATTAGAAAGTGCTAAGATATTGAAAGATAAGCCCATGTTTCGTACCTTCTGATATGGATTGTCACGGATAGCCCGTCGAAGTGTCACAATTCCAGCACCTCCTTCAACTGATGGATCACGACTGGTAGGTGATGATGGAATCGATTGTTGACGATGTCTTAACTCCACTCCCGGAAATAGGAGCGATAATCGTTGCGGAGGAAGTGAATTCCGATTATTGGAGATGGGTGAAGCTGGTTCAGGCTGGCGTAAGACATCGCCCTTGTTGTCTTCGACAAGTGCCACTGGTCCATAAAGGTGCACATAGTGATCTCTGAAAATTTAAAAAATGAAATTCAACTACTGCTTATTTTCATACATTTTCTATGCCGTTCTTAAGTCTTTTTCCTGAGTGAGATACACAATATAAACACTTGTGATATACATTGTTATATTTGTGTATCATTGCACAAATACAAAAATGGGGAGCGTATATCATTTCAGTGTGTACCATTACTATATATACGAGGTGTTGCTAGAAAAAAAACGAGACTGATTTTTTTAGACAAACAGCGCGATCTTCAAGATCAAACGCCACATATACGTCTATTAAAACAGTTAGTCATTTCTAAATCACGAGCTGGAAAGAGAGGGGGCATTGTCTTGCACTTGGGAGTTTCAATATCAAAAACTGAATGTGGTAATGAAACTCACGGTTGGATGACAGTGTTCCCCTCTCCTATCAGCTCGTGACCTTGTAGGAACTTACTGTTTTAATCGGAACATCAAGTCGCCTGACATCCCTCTCCAGCCGGTGTGACGACCGTAGCCTGCCCAATCGGGCGACGACCTTCGTTCATAGGATCGTATTCCTGCCGCTCGTCGAAAAAATGGTAGGCGTTTCAACAGAGCGACGTGGTAAAGTGGAATTGTTAGCGAACCTCGCCATGTCCGCAACAGAGACATATTCTCTTCGTACAACAAACGTACGGAGACGTTTCAAAGGAGAACGAGAAGGAATCGAAGATAATTCACAACAAGGACGTCCTTCCACTTCCAAAATGGACAAAAACATTGAAAAAATAGGCAATCTCATCCGTGATAATCGCCGTTTGAGTATCCATGCAGATGCCGAGACTGTAGGAGGCGACAAAAAATCAGTTCGACAAATTCTGAAAGGAACATTTTTACACGAGGAAAGTTTGTTCCAAAAGGGTGTCCATGATTCTCACACCTGAAAGCCCTCACGAATGGACAGTTGTTCTGATATTTTGAAAAGCATTGAAAAGGATCCTAAACTATTGGAAAAAATAATTGCGTATAACGAATCGTGGTTTTTAACCTTCGACCGGGAAACTAAGCACCAATCGGTGCACTTGAAGAGCCCGCAGACACCAAGAATGAAGAAAGCTTGAATGCCCTAATCAAAATTTAACGCCATGATGATTTTTTCGACATACTTGGGATTCTGTATGTAAATTGGGTGCCTGAAGATCGGACAGCAAATAAAGAATATTATCTTGAAGAATGTGACCCGAGTTGTGGAAGAACAAATCAGGGATTGATATAGCATCGTAGGCTTTCACTGCCGGAGTAAACAGAGAGAGAGAGTTTCCGGGAAGGTAGGACGTGGTCCAGTTGGCGTTAAACTGCCAGACGTTTCGTCCACGTCTGCGGTGGGCGTCCTCATCAGTGGCGGCCGAGTCTCGGGCGCAGGATTCGGGGCGGCGGCCAGCTGTCGACTGGTGCTGCGTTCCGCTCGGCCGTAACTCATACTCCTGGTTTGCGGGAAGGGGGATTCGCGCTAGCTTCCGATTGATCAAGGGTTAGCAGACTGGCTCCTGGTTGGCTAACTGTTGCGCTGTGATTGGCCGATGTGGGATACGCAGCTCTGTTCTTATGCGTTTTGGGCTTCGTGTTGCAGAGTACAGAATACCAGATAGAATTGATTTTGGCCCCTTCTTAAAGTTTGGATGTTTAAAAATCGCAATAGCTTCCCGTTGTAACGTGGTGTGGTAAAGATCAGTAGTAGATAATATTTTCGTATTTTTCGAACAGGATGTCGTGTTCCTATCCCGAGAGAGCATGTTCAACCACCGCAGATGTTTCTGCGTAACCTAAGTGGCAGTTTCCTTCGTGCTCGGTGAGGCAAGTTTTGGTAGATCGTTGTGTAGTACTTATCTACACGAAGCCATAGAAACAGTGTATCCTGAAGATGCCTGCTGCAGTAAGTGGGTCTCTACGGTCTTGCGCTGATTGAAAGAGATTGCGGAGCTGAGTGGTGGGTGTGAAAATGGTTTTGAGTTTGAATTGTGTTAGAATCTTGCCTATTCGGTCCGTGCTGTACCCGATTTGTGATTGTTATCCTCGGGAGGAATGCGTACGCTGTTATTTGGGCCTAGTGCTTCCATTACCTCTTGAATTGAATAACCGTTAGCTTGAAGAGCATTTTACAGTTGTCAGAGTTCTTGGTGAATGTTGTTGCCTTCACATATACGCGTAGTGCAGTGGACAAGTGTCTTCATTATTGCCCTCTTCTGGCTAGGATGATGATTTGACCATTTGTTAAAATATCGGTCCGTGTGGGTACCTTTTCGAAAAAAAATTGTGTGGTCGAGTGATGGATTCTTCATCAGGACACCACCCGTGTAAATCACGGATCTTCCTCAGAACACCACTCAAGCCCACACTGCAGTGATTGCCAATTATGTTTTTGACCAAGCATGGGAAGTCTGTGTGAGAACATCCACTCTACTTATCAGACCATAACACTTATGACTTTTTTATGTTCCCCAAAATAAAGGAAGCAGTAAAAGGAACTATCGGTTTGAGACAGGTTTTAAAATAAAAAAGTTTTTACGACATTGTTGACGCAAGGCGTCTCTTTAACCCATATTGGGCGTTGAGCGCTTTGCCTAGAGTAATCCTCCGTTACTGAGTAATTATTTATTTGACAAGTCTCGACACGTCGCAGTCAGTCCTTTTATCCCTTCGGCCAGGGTCTCGGTGCCGTTAGATTCCGGGGTTGCTAGACGGTCACCCAACCAGGAACCCGCGAAGTCTCGAATTCACTTAACTCCGTGTTAACAAATTCGGCTAGCGACGCCGCGGCAGTGGAAGCTGTGAAATAATAAATGACAAACGCTGTGAAAGACTAAATGACGAAATGAAAATTATTTCAGAAAATGACCCGAAACAATTTTGAACAATGGAGAATTTGAATGGAGAGGTGTTCGAATCATGGAAGGGAATAATTTAAAAGATGTTAAAGAAAAAATAAAACATGTCACAGCAAAAATCCCGTTTTTCTAGCCACACCTCGTACATATATACCGCATACATACACACATAAACATTCATACACAAATTTAACTTTTAAGATTTTGAAATATCACTCAAAATATTTATACATTTATAATTTTTATTTTCAAAACATTGTATTTAATAGTGTGGTAACGATTTTTTATTTATGTCAAAGTTTAAGTACTTACGCGAGGAGTAACTTTTCATATAATCTTGTAAAGCTATTTTCGTGTTGTGTGTTCATGAACACTCTCTTCAAATATATGTCATCCATATGTTCGAATTTTTTCTGCAAATTCGAAGACAGTAATGAATTTTCTTATAATTATCACGAATAATTACTCTCACAATCATGGATTATTGATTATGGAACATCAGTTAAAAGGACAGATCACGAAATGAAATTAAGAACACGTCTTTAATTTATCCCTACCATGAAACACCCTACAGGCATAACTAATACTCTAAAAAGTTTTTGAGTTGGTCCTTTGTAATAAATTTGTAATAATAATAATAATAATAATAATAATAATAATAATAATAATAATAATAATAATAATGTGCTCAAAGAGTGAGGATAGAAAACAACAATGCAAAAATTGGATTCACACCCAAATCCTCACTCGCCCTTCCCGCGGGGATACCTGTTAAGTCGGGCGGAGAACCTACACCAAGGTTATGGTAACCAGCACCTTCGGTGGAGGCAGGCCAACGAACTATTGAGAGATGATCCTTACAGAGCGACAGGAAGGCAAATCCTTAGATAACCTATCAGGGTAGTCCGGGTTAGCCAACTGAATGTGGACCATGGAAAACTGGAGGAACCAGCTTCATGGTCAACAGCGGCTCCCACAGCCTGAGTAAGCAAAGCTACAGTCGAATCTGGCAATAGGCAAATATCCACCACCCATCACTTAGGAAGGAGATACGAAGCAAGAAACGCGTCGAAAAACACCCACAGCCTGGAGAGCGCCAGCAGATGCTACAAATACAGCCCATATCAATATTAATCGTATCCAACAACACTATCCAAGTGTTATATTTAGTAAATGAGTGCCCGCCATTCTGACGGAAACACTTAAAACCATCAATTTAAAGTGTTTCAATTAATATGTAAAGAGAATTCGTACCATCCCGACCCAGTGCAACTCATCCCATTCAAATCTCTAGAGCTGGCGCAGGAGACAGATTTTTTTTTTGGGGGGGGGAATCCTTTATGGATACAAGTGAAGCTGGTGATGCCGGACTCCCAACTGGGTTACCGACTAAAAACCTAACCTCCGTCTCTTAAGCCGTATTCTCTTCCACGCGGAAAGACACTACTTAACGCAGGAGATTGGCTGGTAGCAGATGCTCTACTTCTTCAGTCTTAATTATTTTTTCTTCATAATACTAACTATTAAGTTCTCTATTGTTTTCCATTTTTCCTGCCAACTCAGCATCATGTCGACCATGTTATCTGGTTGACATTACAAACCTCTCGTTCCGCGTCCCATGCCTTGCACTGGAATAGCGTGTATTCTGCATCATTTATGTCTGCGTGACAGAGACTACATAAAACAAATCACAGGAGACAGGTTAGTATCGCGCTTGGCGCCCACATCTAAATATATTTGCGCGACCTGACACCCTCCACTATGTTGACCACTCGCGTGTATCGATACGCTTTGGAACCCCGGTAGGTTCGGTACGCTCACGTCACCGACGTATTTCGACGGATGGGTTCATCACAATAGATTGAATGAACTAGTCATCTAAAGAACCATTCACTACTGATCTACACAACTAGCCACATTCAAAAAATTCCAGCTTACGCCGTAAAACAGCGCAGAACATCATAAATCAATGTAGATTAAAATTTACCAACAACAGAATAGCTGCGGACAGAATCAATGAGATTATGGAATATGAAGCTACATAATTTGCCATGGTACAAATGGAGAACATCAATATTGTGATGCCGAACACTATTCACGTTGCAGGAGAAAGGAATACTTCTTTGAAACCAACCGTGTGAAGTATGGAGGAGTCTGTTGTCTCATACCCATGCTGTCAAAAATAATTTTAAAATTATATTCGAAAGTCATCATCAGCAATGTCAAACGCAAAATAACAGATCCCAGTCATAAACAAAGACTTGCTGCACTGGCGAATTGGTTAAAACGATACAGAAAAAGTGAGGCAACAACCAATTTCGAAACTAGCAAAGATCTTCAGAAAGCTAAGAATCACATCATCCAATGGGAAATATGACAGACATATCACACCCAAAGTTGAGATCACTTTCAGTCTCTGGCGAAATATGTGGCGAGCAACAGTTGAAAATGAAAATGGTAAAGGAATGAAAAGCAGCGTATGTCCAGATTGAAAACCATGTTAAACTGGAAAATCAATGAAAAAAGAGGTGAAAACAGCTCTTACAAGAATATTAAATTGGAAGACACCAGGGCCAGACGGCTTGCAAAACTCGCTAAAGAAATTCTTCGGAATATCTTAAACATCTTCCCAAGAGTTACACTGGAATATTGGAAAACCCAGAGTCGATGCCTTCTTTTTTGACAGAGGGAATCGCCTACCTTCTTCCCAAAGAGAACACTTTGATCTTAGCCAAAAGGCCGAAAAGCGGACACCAACAAGGGTGGCTCAGGGCATGAGCTGATATCTCTGCAGTCCCTCTGACCGGGAAGTCCCAGTTCGAGGATTTTCCACTCTAGCTAGACAGCTAGGTCGAGTTCAACAGCTGTCTCGAGGAGAATTTTAGCGGCCGGCTGCTCTGATAGGTAGTTTTCCCTGATTTCTCCAATCAACACTAGATAAATGCCGGAGAAGCACTCTAACAAACGAGCCATGTAGCACGCAGGATCTTTCCTTCCTCTTCCTTGTCCTATTCTCACCACACACACACACATGCGCGCGCATGCACTACACTACTGCATTTGACGAGAGCAAAGAGCTTGACCCGACTGGGGCGGTGTCACGATGGGGGGAAGATACCTGGTTGGAGGAACTCTCTGCAAACCGATTTCAGAGGTCGGCACCAAATCTCGCCATCCAGCAGGGGAAGATCACCGTCACCTTCCACGATAAAATCACGTACTTCACTTACGGGACTAAAGACCATAGTAGTGAATCAATCAAAACCCAAAGAGAACACATACAGAGCTCCAGAAAATTACCGCCCCCATAGCATGTCTCTCAATACTGTTTAAGCTGCTCACACCTATTATAAGCATAAAAATATACCACAACAATAAACAACACAACACAACACATAAATTACACAAATATTACACAACAATAAAATGTTGGACGAAGAACAAAAGGGATGCCTTAAGGGATCACGATGATGTAAGTAACAACTGATAGTACAGTAAATTCCATCATTAGAACACTGTAAAACAGAGAAAGGGATCATTATATACTGCATTTATAGTCTATCAGAAAGCTTTAGACAGTGTCCCACTGAAAATCTATGGAGTTTAGAATCATATGAAGGTGTTCATGAAATGTGCAATGGATTACTGGAGTACTTGCACAATAGACGTTCTGGTAAGGAATATTAAAATCAAGAGAGGTATTTTTCAAGGTGACCCTCTCAGTCATTTGTGGTTTTGTAGGGCAGTGAAGCTGCTGACAGTGATGCTAAATTGGCAGATGAGGGAAATTAAGCTGGTAAAATCAGGAACACAAGTACTAAGTCATATTGTGAAATGGATGACTTAAAAATGTATGCTGAAGGCAAGAAACGTCTTTGCAGACTCCTTAGATTGCGTGGAGAAATTTCAGTAATGACGTGCACATGATAGTGAGCCTCGACAAGAGTAGGATAAGCTGTTCGAATAAAGGAGAATGGATTGAACTCTTTGGATATGAGATAAATAAAGAATAAGACACCATTAAAGGAATAACTGTGGAAGAGAAGTGCAATATCTTTGTTACTTGGAGGGAAGAAGTGTGCAAAATGGCAAACTTTCCAAGGAAATGATAGATAACAACTTCAATCCCAAAGTTCATGACATTTTTGAAGGCAGAGTTGAGTGTACGCAATTAAGTGAAAGCAATCTTCAAATTCAATGAAGTGAAACAACAATGACATCAAGAAGAAAAAAATAACAACATCAAAAATCCATAGTTTATTAGAAAATACAGTAGGCCAAGGTCTGAAAAACCAGATTCAAATAAGACCCAAAATATCAGATTAAAAAATGTTCTAGTTTGTAATTAATTAAGAATAACAAAGGATCATCTCAGATTTGCTTAATTGAATAAGTACGTGGGGTACGTGCTTAATTGAAGAAAACCTTATTAATTGAAATGTTCATGAATTATCAAAGATAACTTCTGAATTGACTAGACATTTCTTCAGACAGATCAGACATTTTAATCAGGCACCAATGAAACATGCTTTTAATATGAAGAAACTTACAGATGTTAAATATACGATACATAAAATCTATTTAACTTTGATTATCTTACCTGCATATAGAAATCACCTCTATATCCAGTAACTTCCTCAATAGCAGCCATCATGTTACTAATGATCTGCATAACAAAGCATTTATTTTTAATAGGTTCTGAAAATGCTGTAATTTTAATTGTATACAGAATGCATGAACAATGTAGGCATTTAATATTCTATGTGTGAAAGTGTGCGAGGTAATAGTGTGAATAAAATAAATATGAATGATCGAGTGTGAATGGGAAAGAAAGATGCATTATCTTAATTATTATTTGAAGCACCTGGAATATTAACATTTGATATGACAGTAAACCTTCATGTTTCTACTACACTATGGTCACTAGGTTTACTTTGCAATGAAATTAAGTTTAAGTTCAAGTTAAACATATCCAGCTCTCATCTTATTAGAACTATTCTATTTTCACTACTAAAATTACAATTCTAGTATTCTATGAAAGACAGAGTCATTTCCTTTCATTAATCATTATTTTATTGATTTGAATAGTACTATTTATTATTTATACAATACAATATTATTATGAAATGTTAAAAATATGGGTCATAGGTTGAAACACTTACATGATCATTGAGTTCTTCATTCAGAGTTTTATGACCAGCTTTTGATAATCGAATGTGTAATAATTTGACCAATGGTTTAATTGTACTACCCTGAATCAGAAAACAACTAAGTTAAAAAAACAACAGAGTTTCACTATGGATAATCAGAAAAAACTGCAATGCTGACATATGGGCATGATAACTATTACATTTGACTTACTTGAATGAAGACTGTGAAAAGAATGACTACAAGAGTTGTAGTGATGAACATCTGGCGAGGAATAACTTTCTGAATGTCCAACATTTCAGCCAATGAAAAAGCAACAGCACCTCTTAAACCACCATAACCCATTATAAACTGCTCTTGGAAGTTTATACGATGGATACGGTATGCATTTGCTACGGCTGTCAGAATTGCCACACCTATGATAAAAACATTGAGTTCACTGTTATGCAATTAATTGATTAATGACATTTCAGAAATTAGATCTGCAAGTTAACTTTTGTAAAAACAATACTTTCCCCAAAATCTTGGAATAGCACATGTCTTAAGAAATAAGAACCTGAAATAAGAAATAAGAGCCTTATATATGTGATGGTGAAATGCAAAGTTCAAACTATTCTCGGAGGGAGAGAAAATTTTATTATTACATTAAAATTAATGAAACTAGTGAGAAATTGCAGTATACCAAAACTTTTCCTCCTCTAGTGATACTACTCAACAACTAATAACTCATAATAAAAAAAATTGCATGTTATAATTCAAAGATTTTCAACTTAAGGATAAGTTGCATTGAAAAATAAATCTCTGGCTTTAATATTGAAAGCTGGGGGGCGGGGAAATCAGAACTATAACATATCTTTAAATGCACTTTCTTCTATTTGAGGAAAGAGCTCAATTGTTTTTAATCTGATTGAGTGACATATACTTCGATCCACTCTTCAATTCATACGGACATCCCAATTTTCTGTACAAAATTGTGTGTTTCCCCTCACCACCTACACTAATCTAACACTAATCACACATCTTTGAAGAAGCACGAATAGATCTTAACCTTTGAGAGTGTATGAAGTTACAGCCCAAAAGAATATTAAATACCAGTTTTACAACTGAGAATTGAAGATTGTATTGTTGATGTGATTTGAATACTTTTCACCCCTTTACTATACTCCAGCACAGTGAGGAAAATTAAAAATTAGGGCTGTCTAGTCCCCAAAACTCGCTAATTAAATTTGATGACTTGAGTTAGTTAAATTATTTGAACAACTTAGTAATAATTTAACTAACCACAATAAACCTTGATGAATGTTCCCGATTTTTTGGAAGTTTGAGCTACATTAGGGCTAAGAATTCAGAACAGAAGAAAGTAGGTATTTCAATATTTCTAATCCTCATGAGACTTAGGTATGCTTTAAAATAAAATTAATGAATTAATATATGCATAAATTAAATTTTGGAACATGATTTATGGTCACTACGTTATTTGTTATATGCCATCATTGCAACAAAGCTAAGGAATTTGCAACATTGATTTCTTTCATCACTGAATTTTTTGCTCTTTTATACTCACCAACAAAACGACAAATCAAGCATAGCAGCAATGTCCAGAGCACAAAACCTGTGTGCCACACATGATGGTCACTCACTAGTTCCATTCCCAGGAACAGGAAAATAATAGCATCACAAGTAGAGCTAAAATAAGAAGAAACATCTATGCATCTTTACAAACATTTTATTTTATAGTGTTGGGATTAAACAATGGTTATATGCATTTTCCATCTCTTTTTTTTTTAATTTGTAATTTTGAAAGTCTACTGTATTGATGCAGAATATAGGTATGTATAGGAAATATAGTATGGTATAAGGCACAATCTATGAATAGATTCTTAAATGTGTTTTGAAACAAATATAATAATTAAGTAATAATCAAGGTTTGTTTAATTAAATATGAGTTGATTGGAATCAGAAAGCAAACATTAACAGGTAACTTTGGGACTCTACATACAGACATGTGATAGAACCACTAAAATCTTTATTGCTGATGGCAAGGATTTAGATATTTACCCAATTTCCATATACTCTAAATGTTCTCTTGCTCTATTAAAATTAATATTTTTTAACCAATTGCAAAGAGTGAAAAGAAATGTTTTTGGAAATGTGTATATTATATTGCATTGAATTGTATTGAATGGTTTATTAGATTTTCCTTCATGAGGTGTCATTGGATTTGTTTTCAAATCATAAGTGACATTCACTATGGAGCCATCCATAAATTACGTAACGCAAATTTGGAGTATTTAGAGTACCCCTTCTACCCCCTGTAACACACCCATGAGGCACCCCCCCTAAATAATTACATAATGCTTGCCTCAACAACCCCCTTGTAAGAAGTGAAAATAAATTATAGCAGTAAAGTCAATTAGAATTAATTTTGCTTATGTTGTATTTTAAAATTAATGATAATTAAAATACAAATTATTTGGCGATTCTGACTGCACCTAACAGTAAGATTGGGGGCAAGTTGTAAGTGAAGGAAGAACACATAGGCAAGAACATTTTTTATCCCAAGCGGTGCACATGGCGTCGTGGATGACGCATGAACGAGAGTCTACTGCACCAATTCAAATGGATTCTAGAATATACTACATACTATATCAAATCTGAAAGATAATCTTACATATTTGATAAAATGTATTAAAAAATATTTCCAACAATTAACATCTAATAACTTTAATTTATTTATGTTTTTAAAACAAAATAATTAGTTAATATTTTAATGTTTTAGTACAAGATGCAGAAAAGGGAGTTATTTCAGCAAATGTTGAAAAGTATAAGAAATCAATGACACATAACATAAAACTAATACCCCCTACCTCTATGTAACATAGTGTAACGCTGCCTTAAACCCCTTCCCCTGGTCATTAGCATTACATAATTTATGGATAACACCTTAACTTCTCCTTATATGTTAATTTTAAGAACTTCACAATTTTCTAGGGCATATATACCTCAGCATTTTAGTGAAGTATTTCACTGTAGTATACGATTTGGGTGATATATTTTGCAAAGCATAATGAGCTTGCACCAAGCCGCAAACGATAATGCTGCAGAAAGAAAAAAATGTCAAGTAAGTATCTTATTTGATAAGAGTATATGTACACTATTACCAAAATTATAATTTTGTAATAATAACATGAACGTTTCAGGTGTGTGTAGACATCTGTGTGTTATACATCAGATTTATGCAAATGACTAAACATTATCTCATCAAATTTTAGTACCTTATTATTCCTGAGAAGTGGAAAAGCTCAGCTTGGAGATAAGATGCATATGCAAGACCCAAGACAGCAAGTGGTTCCACCACTAAAATAATTTCCACAAAATATAAAGGTTTCTGATCTTAAAACATTTAGAAATAAGTGAACCATACATTTTATTGAAATGTTCAATTTTATTGTTTGATATACCTATACACTTTTAAGTTAATTACATGCATTAATCTAGTAATAGATTCAGCAAAATATTCAAATGTTCTCAAAATTGCTAATTTTAGAGTGAAAATGACAATTTTTTAAAATCAATTTGTGGTGTCAAGACTAATGCTAGAATAAATTGCAGTATAATTGAAGGAAAATTTTATGTATGCAAGAACTCTGAATTCTTGTATATAACAATATATCACAATCATTTTCTGCAAATTTGTTTTGAAATATATTAATCTTAAGAGCCATTGCATCGACATAATATTTTAAACATTTCCTGCTCTCTGTAAGGACCCAGATGACTTACATCATTTTTTGAGGAACTAGGTCAACATTCATGATATTACACTCGCACACATATATATTTGAGAGAGAAAGAGACAAAATTCAGGACTTACCTCGACAATGAACAGTAGTACGAGTGATTAGAGCACTGATTAAACCAAATATCACACCAACAACTGCTCCACCTAAACTTACAGTAAAGAATGCTAATGTTGCCAGAAGATATTGTTCATTTGGAATATGAGGCATTTCATAAAAGGTAGCCATAGTAGTATATAGCACCACAGTCACGGCATCTGTAATGTATTGAAATCTCTAGAAAATCTTCTAAAATAGAATATTAAAGAACTTAAGTTCTTTTATTTCATTTACAAATTATTCTCAATTGAGCTACTTCGGTAAATAATAATATAGGCCATGCTGTAACACACTTTGTTAATTTTCAATGATGGAAAAATTGAAAACTAATTTCATCTAATAAAACTACAAATTGCTATATTATTCTGATGAAAATATTAGGTATTCATCTAAATAAAATATAATTTCTTTCCATTTTCAACATTGAATTTCAAAGAATAATTATAATTGTTTGTAAAATTTCATCATTGGGAGAAATAAAGAATAAAACAAAAATGCTATAAATCATTGTTATATTATTTAAAAACAACAGCAAAGAAAACAATATTCGCCAGAAACTGCTTATATTTATATTGTAAAGGGAGAAGAGAGTATTGAAAAATTTAAAAATAAACATTTCTCATAAATAAGTCAACCAAACAAGCAGGAAGAGTTGTGCATGCATTCATCAGACTTTTACTACTTTTTGCATATGCTTACTGTGAGTGGTAGCCTATTAAACACACCATTGAACAGAGATTCTCCAAAGACCAGATAATATAAGTCCTTGTTGACCCCAATTTCCTGGAAAATAGCCAAAACAGCTACTGGATCCACTCCAGAGATGAGTGCAGCAAAGACCATTGCATCAATGAGTCCAAATTCAGTAGGCATTGTGCCCATTGTCCCAGCATAATATAGTCCATACAATGCCAAACCTGAAAGAAGATCTCTATAATATTTTCTGTGAATATTAATTAGTATGGTACATGTAGATATGTTAATATTTCTTTTAACTTTTTTGCTATGGAGTAGAGGGAAAGTTATGTAATGTTGTGTGAAAAGACTGCAAATTTTTATATATTTATTTATGAATTAATATATTTATTGCTTACTAATTGCAATGAGCTGACTATTGGAAAATGTTGACTTGTTTACAATACAATAATGTGTGTACATTACAATACATAATATATATACATATATGAATACATATACTACATACATACACATAATAACAATAATATGTGTACATAGTATGTATCAAGAAAGAGAAGTATATGTGAATTGATTGCAAGTAATTATTCTATAAAAGAGATGCTTTTTCATTTTATTCTGATGGCCTCTCGGTTAGTTCAAGATAACTTGTGGTGAGAATTAATAGTGATAGGATTTCATGATTGTGCTTTATGACTGAAGGTTTCAATGAATCCCCCTTGAAGCCGTCTGTGCAAAGTTGGAGATTCAATGAAGCAAGTCACTGTTTATAAATAAGGTGATTTTTAACTGCTATATTTATTGCTCTTCATTTTAAGATCTCTAATGCCAGAATGGAAATAGGGATGCCAAACTATGAGTGTATTCCAGAATTGGTCTGAAATATGAGATGTAGTATTTATTAAAGAGACTTTTAGTGACAAAATGCAGAGCAACAACAAGTATGATTTTCTTTTATATTTCATAACAATACTTAATTTAAAGCATTACTTCAAACAATAAGAAATAATAAAATGTACAAAAAAGTAAAACTTACCAATGGCGAAGGTATTCCATAATGTTCCCTGTTAAGAAAAAGACCAAGTGTTAATTTTTTCAAGTATATTGATAAGAATTTTAATAGTATGTGTGCTGTTAATCTCAAGTCCTTGACCAGACCTCTTATTCAATCACATGACCAAAAATGAACAATATACTTAAAGTGAAATATTTCTGTTCATAATGACTCTTGTTTCATGTTTCCTCCATGCAATTTGAAGAGAAAATGCACCTCTACTTATAGAGGCCAATTTTTTGGATAAAAGTATTAAAATATAGTTTTTGAGACAAACTGATTGTCAAAATGATTGAAAGTTAAAATGAAGTTTGAAATTAAGCCACGCAATTAAAACATGTCAGTCAAACCAGACTATTAATTAACTTCAAATTTTCTTTTATTATCATACCTTATCCCAAAACAATATTATTTACAAACAATATTCACAGGTAAGAAAGAAATTTTTAGCTGAGAGATTTGAAAAAAAAAAAGACTAGTAAGTTTAATAGTATACTTGGGTTTATATTTTTTGGCGCGTTGGGGCCTATCTTCACAAGGGAATATTCCACGAGCTTTCGCGCCTTTATCGGTTGTGACGCGAGATGTCGAATGATCGCGACCACATCGAGCAAAGCTACATCTAGCGGCATGAGCGAGAAAGACGCGAAATATTCCGCGAGGCGTGAAATATTCCATCGTGAAGATAGACCCTCACGCGCCAAGAAATAAAAACAGGTATACATCAGATATAATTAAAAATTACTCATTGATCTTACCACCACTGCATACAGAAGAATTGTAGAGAGATTATCAGCGAAGGAACGATCATACAATGAGTACGCCGATTCAAGAATCACTCTGAAAATTGTGAAAATATCATTAATATGAGATATATTGAGTATCGAAAAAGAGCAAAAATGGAAGAGAATTAAAAGAACGAAAAACGATTTGAGTAAAGAACCTAGGCTTCCGCGGTTGGAGTCAGTAGCTGACCGGGAGACACCGCGACTTAGGCAAGGGGCCAACGTTTTGGTCGCCATTCTGCTATCTTCCTCAGGGCGAAATGTTGGGGCATGTAAACTCAGGGCTTGAGTTTAAATAGAGCAGGCTTCCCTTCCACCCGTCAGCCGCATGGCCAGGTGATCGGCCAATACGGAGAAAGCATCGGTCAATCAGGCAACATGCCCCCCAGACGGGGGGAAGGGGAGAAGGCTCTCTGCTATTGGTTTGGACGTCATGGACCAATGGAGTCGGCATTGAAGGGAGAGAGTTTTCATGGGCACAAAAGCTTGCCAATTTAGTCAGTGACCTCTTGTGTGGAGGGTAAAATGGCCATTTTGCGCCGACCAGGGCCTGTATCTCCACGAGGCCTGGAAACATCTATTTTACTACGACCAGCAGTAGCATCACGGTCCTCGTTGCTCCATGACGTCCGACCACAGGTCTTCTCCCACCCCGTCCGGGGCACCTCTTGTCCAATTGGCCGATGCTTTCTCCGCAATGGCCGATCGCCCGGCCAACCGGCTGACAGGTGGTGGGGAAGCCCACTCTATGTAAACTCGTGCGCAGTCTATCTCTGCGCATTTCGCCCCGAGGAAGATCGCAGGACGCTGAATGGCGGCCGAAACGTTGGCAACTGCGTCTAGGACACGGCGTAATCCGAACAGATATGTGATTTGATTTTCGGCAAAAACAGTTGAAGCTGTTTGTGACCTAATTCATCTCAACCTTTTCCTTTTCTTCATCATCATCATCATCACCATCATCATCATAATATATTTGTCACAATAATACAGCATACGCAATTAATTGTATTGGTGGTAGTGTAAAAAGACAAGTTAAAAATCAATAATAATAAAAAAAGAAAAAGGGAAAAAAAGAGAAAAAAGACTTCCTATATTCCTGCCTAGGTTGGGTCCTTCCCTTATATCCAACAAGCAGTTTCGGGAGCGAGCAACCAGTTTCGCATCGTAGAGCGAGCTCCGTTCATACGCACTAACAAGCGAGAGAAGCGACCGACATAAAGCGACGCAGCAGTCGACGAGGTGACGCCTTCGTTCGAACGCTATCCACACTGTTGGAGAAGCGAGAAGAGGCCCGCTGGCAACACCACCGCCCGCTACTTTCGACTTCTCAACTATCCCGAGAAGCCTCTTCAGGAAAGCACTCCAGGAGAGCAACAGGAGGTTCCTCGAAGCGGCGCGGCTTCGGCCGCTGCCATCAAGAATGGAAGTGGAAATGCTTGAGGTAAACCTGCCAACGGACGACCCTTTTACGACATCCCGAGCAGGCCTTGCGAGACGTGCTCATGACTCTTCCCCCGACTCCTCCCCAGACCGATCCAACAAAACCCCCCTGCTGGGTGACGGATTCCAACTAGTCAAAAATGGCGCCAGACCAAAATCCCCGACAATCTTCAACCCCACAGAAACAAGGAATAGATACCAACCTCCTTGACCAACCTCTAACAAACTCAAACACCCCAGACAACCATAATGAACAAACCCCTCCTCCGCAAACTACCCAAAGACAACTAAATCATGGCAAGGGAAGGATTGAACCATTCCGCATCGACCTGACTTCCATCCTCGACCCAACTGAACTGACAAAAGACCTAATGAAAACCTGCAACAACCACATTACCGCAAAATGTACGAAGACTGAACTTCTAATCCAACCAATGACTGTGATTGCCCACACTAAAATACGAGACACACTCGACCAGATTTCTACGGACCCACAACTAAAAGGACTATTCTTTGTGACAATATCCTACCACTTTAACAGAGCCACAGAGGAGGCTAGAGACAAATTTGTTATCAAAGGACTCCCCCAAGATACTGCATCGACCAAATTAAACAAAATTTACAAAGACAGAACATTACTTACTACCACATCACTGAGATGCAAAGACGCGACGATGACGGGACAATGACCCCTCTCGGCATCTACACTGTTGAGACAAACAAAAAAGACATGACAGACATCAAAGGTAAATTAATTTACATTGACTACTACAGAATCAGAATCGAAAACTACAGGACAACGGACAGAATCCCGCAGTGTAAGAACTGCCAGAGACTGTACCATACAAAAGCATACTGCCGACGGATCCCGACCTGCGCTCTCTGGGCTCAAGCTCACCCCACGGAACAATGCCCCTCACATACAAGCTCTGACCGCTCCTTTACTCCCAAATGCATAAACTGTTACCAGCCCCATCCTGCTTACGACCCATCATGCCCAGCCATGATCAAGGCAAAAACTCTGCGACAGCAATCTCTGAAACCCACCTCAACCACTACTCCCCCACAATTCTCTGAACAATCCTCCCCATCCCTACCAAGACACAACTCTTACGCTACAGCCACCAACCCCTCCCAACCAAACACCGGAACTCAACCCTCCCAATCAACTGCCCAAGACCTCAAAGACCTCTTCTCCCTACTCTAAAATCCATCTATTAAAAAGATCCTATCCAATATCAAACCACTCCTTGAAATACTGAAAGGCCCAGAGGACATAGTAACCAAATTAATAGCTGCTGGCTTAAAAATAGTCGAAATCCTTAATTAAATGGCCCTTCTCCCCGTATCCTCACCCTGTCCTCATGGAACGCAAGAGGCGGTTTGAATCAAAAGATCCCCATCCTAAACCAATTCCTAAAAGACCACTCCGTCGGGATTCTATTACTACAAGAGACATGGTTGACTCCAAACTTACATTTTAATATTCCTAACTACATAACTACACGCTCCGACAGAACCACATCCCTTGGAGGCGGCACGGCCATCCTTACCAGACGCTCTATCCCACATACCCATTACCCCCTCCCACAAACAACTGACCTTGAATGCACTGCCATCGCAATAGGAACTACCTCAATACTAATCATATCCTGTTATAAAAGACCAAGCATCCCCATCCCCACATCTGATCTTGACGCCCTAAATAACCCCTACCCATTCATACTTGCAGGAGATTTAAACTGTAAATCAACAAACTGGAGCTGCGCGACTAGCAACAGAAACGGACTCCGACTTGACAACTTTTTAACCCAAAACACCCACATCCATCTAAAAAGTTCCCCTAAGCCAACAGACATCCACAATGATTTTCCCCACGACATCCTCGATATTGTCCTCCATTCTTCTCAACTCCAGACAACCATTCCTTATCCAAAATACGACTTCTTCTATATCTCGGACCACCTCCCAATCGTATTTAATTGCTCCACAGCCTCACACTATGCCCTCCCCAATCCACCTCCCATCCCCTCCACAAACTGGAAAATTTTCAAGAACATCCTATCCAAGAAAATCCACATTCCTACAGATATCAATACAAATGAATCAATCGATAAATCCATAAAACACCTCACCCACCACATCAAAAAAACCGATCAAAAATCAACCACCTACACCCCAAACCTCCACCCCACCCTCCCAAATGAAATCCTCACCATAATACGACACAAACGAAGGATACGACTGTATTACAAACCCAGACGCGACGAGGACAAAAGACAACTGAAACAAATACAAAGACGAATACAAGCGCTACTACGACAAAACGAAACGCACAAATTACACGACTTCTTAAAGGACAATCGCAGCCCCAATAAAATACATAAAGAAATAAAGGCAGTTCGCAACCCCACCACCCCAATATCCCCAATCTTGACAAACAACACCCTCACCTTTGACCCCCAAACCATCACAAACACCCTCGCAAAATCCCCAGCCGACCGCTTCCTTCCTTCCAACTCTCAATCCCTGACAATGTTATCTTAAACTACCTCAAAACTCCCACACTACCACCAGAAAAACAACAAATGTGGACGACTAATGACAAAGAATTACGACAAATTATCAAGACAATAGACAGTACAAAGTCCCCAGGACCCGACGGAGTCTTCCCATCCTCAATCAAACACCTAACCAAGAATGCAATAGACCTCCTCACTCTTATCCTAAACTTCCTGCCTTAAACTATCCTATTTCCCACCGCCTGGAAAACCGCCCGCGTAACCATGCTCCCCAAACCCGAAAAGGACATCAGCTCCCAGCAAACTACCGCCCCATAAGTCTCTACCAATCATTAGCAAAATGTTTGAGAAAATCCTACTCCTACGACTAACCCCCATCCTAGATCCCATCATCAACATCTCTCAATTTGGATTCCGAGAGGGCCGCTCCGCAGCCCTCCAAACCCTGAACCTCTCCATGCAATAGCACCCCCTCTACAAGACCAAAAAGAAATTCCAACCATGTTCACCGACCTCACCCAAGCCTACGACACAGTTCTCCACCAAATCCTTCTTATGAAAATCCGACCGTACGTTCCCAACCACTTCCATTCCCTACTCCTAAGCTATTTTAGTCACCGCTATTTCCACGTTCGTTACCTATCAAAATTCTCACCTAACCACCCGATCCAAGCCGGCGTCCCACAAGGAGCCGTCTTATCCCCAATCCTATTTTCCATGTACATTAATGACATCCCACGCACCCATGGAGTGCAAAATTTCCTTTACGCCGATGACCTTGCTTTCCTTACATCCTTCCACTCCTAAAACGATCCCTTATCCGTCTCCAATCCGCTTTAGATACATTTACACTCTGGGCCTCACAAAACGCCATCATCATCAACCCCATAAAATCACAAGCCATCGTCTTGTCATATAAAACCTTCCCCTCCAATCCCCTTCCCCTATCCATAGCAAACACACCAATCCCTTGGACAGACGAAGTTAAATACCTTGGACTGTACTTTTTCCCGACGCTCCTCTGGACCAACCACATCCACAAGACCAGAACGAAAGCCACCCTAATTACGAAACGCCCTGCTACCCATCCTCACCCATCCTTCCCTTCCCACAAAAAGAAACTTCAAACCTACTACACCTATATCCGACCCATCATCTCATATGCTCACCGACTTGACTGCACCTCCAACAAAACCTTTCAAAAATTACCCGAATGGAAAATTACGTCCTCCGCCTCATATTCCGCCCACCCATGGTACACACTTTTCAACCAACTGAGATCCCAACATCAAATCCTCACATCCTCACACATCTCCATCACTCGGCAAAAAGCTCAAATACAAAAATTCTTCCTCAATCCCAAATTCCGAAAACTTTGTCATTCCCCACCACCATATCTTAAGAAACCCACCCCGCTTTACCCGCAAACAGAATCCTCTCGACATCCTCCAACTCCCCCCCACCCGTCACCTGAGCCAGAGAGCAGAACGAAACAAGACAGCGACGTAACTAACTTTTTCAGACGACACAAAAATCGACAAATGAAGAAAGAAACGACAAGCCGACAAAACTAACTACACGAAACGCAAATCAACGAACGCAAGACAGACAGAGAAAGACGAATAAGATACAACGAAAAACCAAAACAAACCAACAATTACAGAATCCACCCTTCGCCAACAAACTATAGAATCCTACCACTACACCCAACTGAAAAGGACCGTTCCCCCCCCCCCACCAAGAACCCATTTCCCACCCAATTTCCTTTCTTTCCCCTCCACCCCCGTCACCCAGCGTGAACCCGAACGAAATAACATCAACCCTTAATAAAATAACCTATCTACCCGACCCCCAATCCCGTCCTGTACGGGGGGAGAGGAGTCAGAGTACAACATAGACAACATCACCCCCATCCACAATCATCCGGCTCGGAATAGACCCCCACAAGGCTCAGGCGAGCGACAGAACCAACGCCCGGAAGCAGGAAGCAGTTTCGGGAAGTTTGAAAACATGCAATAGAAATTGCAAACATTATTGTTCCTAGTTTATATTGATGTAGATACGCGTTTATGATGTATATATTATTTTGTACTGTAGAATGTATGGTTTAACAAGAAAGCATTCAGTTTATTTTTTTAAATGTGTATCGAGTTTCAGCTTTTAAATTCGCCAGGAAGTTTGTTATATAGTGCAATGCCTTCTATAAGGGTACTTCTTTGAAAGAGAAATTTCATTGTGTGGAACATGCAGGTTTATTTTTGGTCTAGTATCATAGTTGTGTTCAGATTAACAGAATCCTTGTTTTCCGTAAGTATCTTCTTTGTTAAGATTAATATGTCAAACATATACATGCATGGGAGTGGAAATATTTGTAATTTTTTGAACAGTGGTTTGCAGGACTCATGTTTGCGAGTGCTGCAAACTACTATTCAAAATGGTCTCAATGTGCATTGTTCTCAATATTAGTTTTTGGATGATGAAAGTGTGAATACTTTCATGTGAATTTCCCCACAATACTATTCCATATTTTAAGTGCGAGTGAACATTTGCAAAGTACACCATTCGCAGTGCATGTAAGTTGGAATTTGACTTCGGGATGTATATCGCATAACATGACTTGATAAGCTTGATGTATAGATCTGTGATATGGGATTTCCATTTTAGATCATCTTGTATAATCCGAGGAGAGTTGTATTTTGGACTATTTTTACAGCCATGTTTTTTACCATCAATTGTGCTGGAGGCATTTCTTTAGAGAGTTTAGGAAGATGATTAATATTTAGTTAAATGATGAATTAAAGTACCAACAAAGCAAGGATAGCAACTTTTGAAAAACTAAAATGTTTGCTTCCAAATTATGGAAAACTAGTTTGCATCAGTAAACAAACTACAGATTTTATTTTATAATATTGCTGTCAAAATAGCAACCCACGTCCCCTGCTCTTCTCCTACCACAGCTAAGAAAAGGAATGAAAGAAGTGAATTGTGAAGCAAAACAAGGGGCAATCTCAGCATTTACTTAATGGTTCGGGGGAATTGAACAAAACACCTGATCGAGATGAGGGTCATTGACCAAAGAATTTGAAGCCACTTTCTACCGACATATTAGTCTTTTAAAAAAACCTTACAAATGATAACTAATTATTTAAGTAATAGTATTAAGATAAATATTACTTTTAATTTAGATGATCAGTATAGTTTTTAATTGTATAAAAACAACTATGCAGCGGAAAATATTTTACTTGACACAAGCTTGTGCGCCGATTTAAATTGTTAAATGTCATCTGGCAATGTGTTGTGAAGAAGTGAAAATGTTTTATATGCGTATTTCTTGTAGTAAGCTGTTGAAACTGACATGATGAACGAAATTGCTATGACATGTGCTGTAGTTATAAATATCTGTATTGCCTGAAAATATGTTGCCGCTACAGATTTGTAAATAAATAGGCCAGGGAATGGAAAGATTCCAAGCTCAATGAAAAGGGTCTTACAGGAATAACAAGGGTGACGCTTGCCCTTCATTCATGCAATTTTTCCTGCAATCTAAAAGTTAGGAAACTATAAGATGTGTTTCCCCAGAATATTACGTCCGACGCCGCCCCGAAAGAAGAAGAAGGCCGACCGCCCGGAAAAGAGAAGAAGAAGAAGAGAGAAGAAGGCGACGCCGAAGCAAGAAGAAGAAGAAGAAAGAAGAAGGCGACCGCCGAAGAAGAAGAAGAAGAAAGAAGAAGGCGACGCGAAAGAAGAAGAAGAAGAAGAGAAGAAGAGGCGACCGCCGAAAGAAGAAAGAAGAAGAGAAGAAGCGACGCCCGAAAAGAGAAGAAGAAGAAGAAGGCGACGCCGAAAAGAAGAAAGAAGAAGAAGAAGAAGCGACCCGAAGAAAAGAAGAAGAAGAAGAAGAAGCGACGCGAAGAAGAAGAAAGAAGGCGACGACCGAAGAAGAAGAAGAAGCGAGAAGAGAAGAAAAGAAGGCGACGCCGAAGAAGAAGAAGAAGAAGAAGATAGACGAAAGAAGAAGAAAGAAGGCGACGCCGAAGAAGAAGAAGAAGAGAAGAAGAAGAAAAGAAGAAAGAAAGAAGGCCAGACCCCGAAAACCCGAAAGAAGAAGAAGAAGAAGAAGAAGAAGAAGAAAGGAAGAAGAAGCGCCGAAGAAGAAGAAGAAGAAGAAGAAAGAAGAAGAGAAGAAGAGAGGCGACGCCCGAAGAAGAAGAAGAAGAAGAAAGAAAGAAGGCCGACGCCGAAGAGAAGAAGAAAAGAAGAAAGAAGAAAGAAGAAGAAGAAGAAGAAGAAGAAGAAAGAAAGAAGGAAGAAGAAGAAGAAAAAGAAGAAGAAGAAAGAGCCGAAGCCGAAAAAGAAGAAGATAACAAATGGAAACATACAAAATACACAGAAAGGAAAAATTTAATGAATGGAAAGTCCAAGAGAAGTGTAAAAAGAGACAATATGATGTTATGAATCAAATTACATAAAGGTGTAAAGTAAAAACATTTTAATTTCATTAATACTTTTATAAAGAAATCTTATAAAACAACTTTCACACTAGTGTTTACAAATTTAAAAATTATTTTTTCAATGCCATTAATAACAAGAAATACAATGTATGTAATTTTGTACAAATATGTAGAATAATTATTTGTTACTTACGGAGGAAGAAGAACCATGAAGAAGAGTTGGGGACTGAAGTTGGGTAAAGTAAAATGGAAAGTCGACTCTTCATTCTCAGTCCGAACACCAGCGAAACTGAAAAATATGAATATTCAAAAAGAAATACATTTACAAAATTTAATGTTCTGAATAATTGATTATCATATATGAGAAGTTGACATTACTGCCTAAATTGCATTTCATAGAATTCTGTAAAAGCTTTAATCATAGCTCTAAAACAGTGAAACAATACTTGAAAATTTATGTTTTATATACTTCACAGAGTGAATGAGCAATATTATAATCCATGATACAATTAATTTCTCAGACGACAAATCTTTGAAATAAATTACACAACAATAATGTATCATATGCTACCGACATAAAGAAAATTAATGATCTGTTTTCTTTGTCATGGTTTTGAAGGTTATCTAACTCTTTGAGTGCCTAGTGTATTACTATATATGTACACACCCATCTCAGAAGATCATGCATATAAAAATTGTTCACACTTTAATTTGCCACCTATCCTTTTAAATTTTCTAATAGTTTTAAAATGAGTAATTCTGTGGTTCAGAGATAACAAATAGGGCTACTTAACTGTGTGAGGTTGAATTTTATGTGATGTTGAAAAACAATTAAAATCAGTAGAGTGCTAGTATGATATGGTTAATTTCAAAGTGAGTGACAAAGCAAAGGATGAATGTAGGTTTTGAATTTTAGATGATCACAAAAATGAACATTAAATGAAACAACTTGAATATACTTGCTGATGACTTGTGTATCATTTAATTGTTCACAATGACTTGTGTGAAGAGAGAATGATCTCTGGAGCTATCTATATTTTCACATAAGATTTCATTAAGTTGTATGGTTGTGTTTCTGAGCAAAGGACTGTTGTGGAACACAGTTGTGATTGCGGCAGTGTCTCAAGCAAACAGATGTAATAGTGAATTGCATTGGCTTAGTTCCATTCATTAGTACTGATCAGTAAAAGTTTGTGCACCAAGACCACACCTTCCATAACTTTTAATTACATTTTAATATTACCTGTCCTGTCATTATCAAATTTCCTGGTTTATACATCTGAATACAGAAAAAAAGAAAAACTAGTAATAGGATCATTTCAAGTTAAAATGGTAATAACATAATCATTTCATAACTTTCCATGCCTTCCAGAAACAATTCACCTTGTTTTTAAGTTTCAACATGCAGAAAAAAATTGATGCAAAACAGGCAAGGTAATTGATTACTATATGGAGCTATTGCTAAGTGGAGCTCACAAACTGAAAATTATATTTAACTGAAGCAGAATGAATTGCTTTCATAGTTGGAAATTCATTGGTTTCTTTAGATGCACTTACTAGGTGATGACTCCAACGCTCACTCCCATTACAATCATGAGACTGGAAAAAAAATCAAATCATAAAATAAGTTCCCAATATAATTTAACAAGGGGACATATCAAAAGTTATAATGTCCTAATGGACATTATAACTGAATAAATCATCATGACAACTGTAAAGTATTAAATATAAAAGAAGCAGTTATTAATTTTCATCACTTTTTGGTTGCTTCAGGAACAGTGTACACAATGACAAATGTGCAAATGCAAGTTTTCTTTTAGAAATTCACAATTAGAAAGCATTTTTTATGATGCAAAGTGAGTATGGCAAACTATCAAAATTTCCTTTTGAAAGTTTTTGACAACCATTTCAGGAATTCTCATACAATCCTTGTGGTAATATAAAAAGAATGGCGTAAGTCTTATTCATTATTTTAATTAAGATTACTCTTCATTGTAATTTGTGCAATAAATGGGGAAATATATTTATGTATATTCTTATATTTAATTTTAGTGAAACTTCTTTCCGCAATGCATTTGGATTCAAGTTAATATTTTTTCAGTTTCCTCATTCCAATTGCATAAAACGAATACGTTTTACCCAGCACATGAATGTATTCATGTTCAGTGAACATAAAAATCAATTTTTATAATATTCTGTACTAATTTGACATATTTATAAAAAAATTAATAGAAAATATTTTTTTTTTGAAGTCAACTATTTTATTTTAGTCCCATATCAAAAGATAAATAAAAAATGTACTATGGCATATTCAATGGTTCATGCATAAAATTTTGAAAAAAGGATAACTTGCATAGAGAGAAGTATCCTTTATGCCTTTCTGCTAAAAATAACAATTATTTATAAAATATTATAAATGGGCATAAAAAGCACATGCAATTACTCATTAGACCAGTGTACAATTTTAATGGGGCAAAATGCTGATCTTATGGATAAGTTTTAATCAGTAAACTAAGTGTATCGAAAATAAGTGAATTTCATGTTTATGTCCTTGTGTCTGAGGTGTTCATTCTTCAGAAAAAAAATTGATGTAGGGCACATCTGCCAATAAGTTAGAATCACAAATTTAAGTTTTCAGTTTTTGTACGAGAAAAAATGGAAAAACATGTAGCAACAAAATGCAGCAACATTATATTTTCTGTGTCTGACATCCTTCAGTAAAAGTGTATAAATATGTGGAAAATAGTATTTTAATATTTTTGTGAGCACTGCCTATTTCCATGGGTTTTTTAAATGAATACAAAATTATAGTTTTACATGAAAGTTTGCAGAATGGTAATACAGTAAAATCTGTTCAAGCTGGAATGGATTGGGACCCAAAAAATTCTGCTTTTGGGAGGTTTTCATTTTATGCTAGGATGTGCATTTATGACACTTGTGATATTCATGTTTCTGCCTTGATATAGTAGTAAATTACATGACTTTATTATAATTATCAAAATACTTATCATAAATGATATAACATATTTATAGAAGAAATCGTCAATAAATGTTTATTAAACACTCTTCACTGACAGATTCTGAGTTCAAAAATAAGCATTTTACTGGTTAAATTCGGACTGCTTGCTGACTCTTAAGGAATAATGCATCACATCCCAGTTCTATGACTTTCTGATACATTTGCATGTCGTTGAGCAATGTAAATCTGTTCGAGGGGTTATGATTTTCAATGTCGGGCAGGGAGACACCTGAATAGGAGTCACGCCCTTACAACTTCCCATGCTCAGGGTCCAGAGAGAAGAAATTCCCCAAGTCATATGCTTTGAAAGACAAGCAAGCCCAAGGTTTAATTCTATGCTGAAGTCCCTCTCATTCAATATCTGGCTGTTATGACTAAATTGCATGTCATAGGGATAAAGAATTTAAAACAACTGGCACGTGCATTCATTTCATTAAGAATATCTCGCATCATTCTGCCAATTGCATTAAATTCACAGGAATTCCATTTTATAAAGTTTTATTTGCCCTGCAAGTCATGAAAAACCATTCTGTTTCTGGGCTGGAGAAGTTCCGTTTTTTGCTGTTTTAAATGCCATTTAACATAACGACCCGAAGAAATTTTCTGGTTAAGACAGGTTTTCGGCTTGCACAGGTTCCATTATAGACAGATTTTACTGTAATACAAAATCAATTTGAAGACTCACCAAGATTCTGGAACATGATCTGACAGCCATGAAGCATGATGAAATGCTGCACACACCAAAAAAAAAAAAAAATTAATATTAGGATTTGAAAAACTTTTTCATAAGAAAAGAAACTTAATGTTCTTAATATAATAGTAAGAAAGGTTTACATCATACAAATATAATATTAAAAAAATAATAAACTAAATATATTTAATATAGACTGAACTCAAATGTTCCTCTAAGATTTCCATGATAAACAAAAAATTAAACTTTTTAAAAATTTCTCATGTTAAAGTTTTTGTTAAGTTTTTCACCTATTTTATTTTCCTGTCATGAAGTCTGATACTTCCAAACCAAGTGTGGGAATTTATAGTGTGAATGTATTTGTAACATAATTTTCTGTCTTAATGATAGCCTAAAAAGCTGTCTGCTTTTGATGAGTTGCTGTCGTTAAAATATCTTCATCAAGTTGTCAATATTTGCTGCATACATTCTCTTAATTAAACAAGTTCTGAGGAGTTGTGTCAGCTCGTACGGGATGTGAACTGTTTCCTAACCAAAAACTGAATTTTAAAAAAAGCAACTGAATTTTATATCTAAAGTAATCAAACAAAACATTAAAAAATAATAAAATCACAAAACTTTTATATTTTTAAATTACAAAATAGTAGATTATATATATTTTTAAGGTGCACATGCTTAACATACACAAGAAGTTTTCTTTGTAACAACCTTGGGCTTAGTCTTTGGTGAAAGAATTTAATCTTACAAAAGTCACTCACTTTTGATATGTGATAGATTTACCTTTATGTTCTGTTTTATGTGCCTGACAGGGGCATAGTTAGACTGGTGCAGTCAGTACACTGCATCAGGTTTTCCGAAGTTAAGGGCCTCTAATAAAGAACTCCACAGATGGAAATGGCATGGAATAAAACATATGAAACTACACACTTATTTTTTCCATTGTGTCCGCCACATTTTTATACCAATTAGATTTAAAATTCTTAATTACACATTTACCAATGGCAGATAGGGGCCCCAATGCGACCTTCTGCACCAGGGAATCCGAGCCGTGCCACTGTTGTCTGAGTAAACGCAAAATCATGATGGTAAAGTTAGGAATCCCAGTTTGTTGTAATTCACATTTTTTTCCCTTAATAATTATTACAAACTCATTAAAGACATTTTGAAACAAATTGAATAAAAAATAAATAATTAAATAAAAAAATGAACTTAATAGTTAAGTCAGAATTATGGCCAATCAAGTTCTAGATCAAAAACTAATAATTACCTTATTTTGAACTAATTAAAACCTAATTTCAAACAAATAAAAACTGTCCTTCACTAAGAATCAAGAAAAAAATTGATTTTTAACAGTGGTGTTTGGGGTAGGTAAAGTGGAAGGTAAATTGCACTTTCTCCAAAAATTCTGAGAAAGTTGTCATAAACAGAATTAATTTTGTGCTAATTTCAACCAGAAATAAAAATTCAATAATTTATGGTCTAAATTCAAGGTTAAAGAATTGTCAGAAAATAGTCAAAGGCTGAAAATATTTATTTAAGAGACAAGTTAAGAGAACCAAAATATTAAAAGCTTTTGTAAAACTCAAGCTCAAATTAAATAATAAATAAAAAAGTGTTCTAAACCAAGAAATATGGGATACAGAATCAAATAAAATTAGTGGATCTGATTTTTGCTGTCATTTCAAATTTCGTGAAACAATTACCCTGATATTTTTGCCTTTTTTTGGTTAAATTACCTTGAATAGTATCCATGTATATCATAGATGTTATTGCTCTGAAATTTGTATGACAGTACATTATTAATTTTTTGCAATCGATAATTATAATATATGGTTGCAATAAAAATATATAATACAATTTTATTTACTGTATTTTGAGTATTTCAAGTATTTTAAATGCGTATTATTATAGCAAATCAAAACCTAATGTATTTTGAGAATGTATTTTAATACTTATTTACAAAGTATTTTCAGGAAGTATTTCAATGTTAAATTTAAAGTATTTGGCCCGACCCTGAAGATAGTAAGGTGCTCTGTGCACGGTCCTCTTCACCCCGTGTTCTCGGCTCCTCGTGCTGTCTGACCACTCACCCACTTTGGCGAGCCCCGTGATGACGACGAAGGCGGTGAGCGTGAAGAAGGCGCCGATCTCCTCCCAGCGCCAGCTCACCACGTGGATGCCGTGGTGCACGGGGTTGGCGGGGCCGAGCGCGGGCGCGGCGGAAGAGTTGCGGGCCGACGACGTGCGACCCCTGGAGGAGGACGAGGGCGACGCAAGAGCAGGCGCCACCAGCAGCGCCGCCGTCGCCAGCGCCAGCGCCAGGGCGGCGCTCCACCGCAGCCCGCTGCCCATGGCCCACGCCCGCGAACTCGGAAGGCCGGTCCTCCACGACTCGCGGCCGCGCTCCTCCACGCCGGCGGCGGCTGCTGCTGCTGCTGCTGCAGCTGCTCGCGGATCCTGGGCAGCACGTGGCCCGGCATTAGAACAGTCATGACAAGTTTGTTGCTACTAGTCAGGAAGGGGACAGTGATATCAAGTCTGTTGCCGCCAGTGAGAAAATGGGAACATTAATATCGAGTTTGTTTCCACCGGTGAGACGGTGGGGACAATGATCTGTTATCACCAGAGAGACGGTGAGGAAAATGTTATCGAGTTTGTTGCCGCCAGTGAGACAGTGGGGACAATGACATCAAGTTTATAGCCGCCAGTGAGACGATGGATTCAATGATGTCAAATTTGTTGCCACCAGAGAGACGGTCAGGACAATGATGCCGTCCAAGAGATGATGGAGACAATGATACACGTATGTTGCCACCAGTGAGATAGTGAAGACAATCATATCAAGTTTATAGCCATCCATAAGACAGTGGCACAGATGGCCTAATGAAACCCCCATCCACTCATTTGGCAATAAAAGTAATAGTGGTATCGGCAGAAAAGAGTGTGAAAGTAATCCTGGATTCGACAGAACTGCTTCGTGACTAGCTGCCGTTAAGTGGTGCTCCTGCGCGCGAAGTTTATTCCTCGAGCAACCCGTCGCAACACCACCGATAGACATTATCCACTGTTTATATTGAGTGCCTCAGACTGAATGATCCCACATCACGCATAGTTCAGACAGTAGCGTCATTGCTAATTACTAGGAGGAGGATTTTAATAAACAAAAAATTGCTTTAGAACTATGCCGTTTAGAATAGAAATTAATGTTATGACAGAAGTACATTACCCATTTTTATACGTCTTTTTTGTTGTTGCATTTTTTGTTAAATTCGACTCATAAGTCATTTTCTAACTTTTCCCGTTTTTTTAAAGCATTTTTCGCTGAACATCGGTGCTAGCCTCATATGTCTTAGATGCTCCCTCCAGTTTTAAATTTCTTTTGAAACAGTCGACGATGATTCCGTGCAAACGTGATTTTGAAACCGAGTTACTATCTAGTCCGGAGTCAAGCTTCCCTTGGCAATTGACGAGCCCTGTTGCAACAGATTGCTGGATGATCAAAAAAATAATTATTTCAAGGAAGTCTTCCAACGCCAGCTCAAGTATAAGGGTCAGTTCATTACAAACCATTGACTAAGCTTTATCTCATACCTGGAGTGAATGTATAAATAAGTGAATGATTTGATAGATAGGAGATTAATTGATTGTGAAGAAATTATATGAATGGAAGCGTGGTGGAATGAGAAGTGTGTGTGTGTGTGTGTGTGTGTGTGTGTGTGTGTGTGTGTGTGTGTGTTTGTGGGGGGGAGGGGAGACCCCATAGAAAACCTGGCGCCAACCCATTTCGTCCCCCACACATTCAAAACGGACCGAACGCGATTTGAACTCCGGCCGCAGTCTTGGAACCCGAGCGGTCTGGCCGGTACCCAACGGATCACCCCACGAGAGAACGAGAGAACGAGAGAGAGACAGTCTTGCCACGCGGCGATTGCCATGTATGTCCGAATGTTCGCTCGTTCCTTGAATCGCAACGCGAGCTCGTGCAGCCAGTTGCTGCCGGTTGCCGCCGGTTGCTCCTTGGCAGGGCAGTCGCCTCGGGCGGCGCTTGCGACCTCGGGGGTCAAGTGGGGCCGGCAGAGGCAATTCGACGACGCCGCTGCGCGCGATGTAAGGGCCCAGAGGACGAAATCAGGGAGCTGCCGATCGGAGAGAATTTTTGTTGGGGTGTGGAAAGTAGGAAGGCGAAATCGATGTCGATGTTTTCAAAATGTCGATGTTTTTGAAAATATATTGATTTTTAAACATAAATTTATTGAAGTCATTGTTTTTTAACATCATTTTTTTTGTGCTCGATGTGTTTACGTTTTCAATATTATATTTTTGAATTATTAAAATATGATAACAAAAACTTCATTGTGTCGTCAGTAAATTGAATATTCTTTCGCACCAAAGTGACCAAAGATGAAAACCGAAAAGGTAGTCTAGTTTTTTCAATAAAAATGTATCTTCTTTTTGAAAAATTTAATATCATAACCAGTTTTCTTTATTTTTAATTTTTAATTTGTTTTGTAAATCTTAATTATACATAAATACGGCTACTGTCAGATTATAACCCCCCGTGCCACTATTAATGACAGATAATATTAACCAGTTTATAAAAAATACAAGAGCTCGAAAAGCCGATATGCGGAGCGTAAAAGCTCAGGCCGTACCGCAAATACGGAGCTCTGGGATTTGTTCCGCAATATTTGTGTAAGAACTGGTCTAAATTTCTAAACCATTCAAAAGACTGAGAGGTGCAAGAAATTGCGTTATTAGTAACCGTTCACATTGCGCAAATATTGCAGGGGCAGCCACAGTTAGGTCTGTACCTTAGGAAGCTGACTGCCACTTGGGGTAGGTTTTATATTTACTTATTTATATTAAAGATGTAGGTTTGACCCTACATCTTTAGTTGTAAATTTAGGAAATTATAAATTAATAATTATTATTATTATTATTTACCTACGACATATACGTACCTTTCATGCAATTTAAGGAAGTGGATAAAGAAGCTATTGCATGGAAAACATCTTTGCTCCAGAATACCATCATGTCGATATGAACTCCAACTGCACTGGTAGTAGATTGATAAATAACAGTATTGGCAATAGAGCTAAATTACTTTTATCGATAGGGCGACATGCAAAGGAAACTAGCCATTCCAGCACCTCCGACTGTACACATTTCTCTGGAAATGAACCGATTACAAATAACTCCATGACAAATTTGTGAAGACGCTCCATCAGGAATTATCGTATCTGTGTCAATTCATTCAACAAAGTTCTCCTCTCGTGACACTGTTCTGGGAAGGAAGGAATTCCTATTATTTGGGGGCAAAGCAATTTGCACCAATCAAAGAATACACCAGAAGCGGCAAGATTTGTACCAGACAGACTGACAAATCACACCAATTGAATTTACATCTCTAGTACCTATCCCAATTCCACGAGGCATAAAGAATGTCGAAAACATTACTACTTTCAGTCGGAAGATTGAAATTAAAAAATACAATTCACTGAAAATTCAAATAAATAAAAAAGTTGACACCTGAAATCTAATAAAATCGTTCAATTTTTATATTTTCGTCTTACTTCGTAAGAAGAGAAAGTATTGTAATCGTAATCCGGAAAACGGCGAATTTTCGACAGAAAAAACTCTTTTTGCAGGTTCTGTTAACGAAAAAGTAGAACAATGTTTTTGTATATAATAAATTACTTCCTCTAACACGTTGCGTCGTCAGAACCCATGATTTGTGGGTCCTTGATTCCGAAAAATCTATTAACGGCAAAACGTCATCTGTCCGTCGTGTGGTCAACTCTAAAACCGTTCAGCCGATTTCCTTCAAAACTTGACATCCATTTATTGAGATTTTTTTCTCAATAAAATCAGTTGCTGAAAGATAGTTGCTAAAATAAAACTATGTATAATTTTCTAAAGTATGAGTAGTTTATTGTTAATTTTGTGTGAAATAAAGCGAAAAGTACATTTTTATTTACATTAGAGAAGACTAGATTAATTATTGACTATTACTACCCACTCTAGTTGTCTCTTTTGCCAATTTGTACAGTCCCAATGCTTTAAAACTATTTAATAGCTTTTTCATGACATACCTTTCTCACGGTACTTTTTTAAAATCCCAATTATTATGCAATCATTAATTGTCATTATTTTGCAAGCATGAGCTCCTGCAAGAGCGAGAGGGTAGACATACGAGGGATATTGAAAAAATACGCTGCATGACGTCACAAACCAAAATTTACTTACAACTTCGAGTTCTGAATCCCCTTCAAAGCACTCTTCTCTTCAACGCACACTTATACCAACGGTGTTTCCACTTGTTGAAATAGTCCTGGTACGCTTCTTCGGTAATGTTCCTCAGCTCCTTCGTCGCATTTGCCATAATCTCAGGAATCGTCTCAAATCTTCTTCCTTTCAAGCGTCTTTTGAGTTTGGAGAATACGAAAAGTCACATGGAGCAAGATCAGGCGAGTAAGGAGGGTGGGAAAGAACAGAGGGATGAATGGGCTGGAGCGTTGTCATGATGGAGAAACCAGTCGCCGCTCCTTAACATTTCTGGCATTCTCCGGTGGATCTCCTTCTCCCTCAGACATTTTAGAACTTCAATATAGTAATTTTGGTTCACCGTGGAGAATTCTGGGAGATATTCGCGGTGAAGAACAGCCTTAGGGGAAGAAAAAAACAACTGAGCATCACCTTGTCCTTGGACCGCACATGGTGACTTTTTTGGGTCTGGAGGACGTTTCCCCCGTCCACTGGAAAGATTGGACCTTTGTTTCAATGTCATAACCATAAACCTATGATTCATCACCGGATATGATATTTGACAAGAATTTTTTATTTTCTTGTGAACGATCAAGCAGGTCCTGACAATGCTGAACATGGTCTTTTTGTTCTTCCGTCATGAGACGTGGCACAAATTTCACAGCAACGCGGTTCATCTTCATTTTCTGAGTCAAAACCTCGTGACAAGATCCAGCTAATATTCCACACTCTCCAGAAAGCTCCCTGACAGCTCCGGCATCAGGGTGTTGATTTTGTCAACGTGTAGGTCGTCAGTTGGAAGGACGTCCAGGACGCTCATCATCTTCAATGGACTGTCGGCCATCTTTAAAACATTTATTCCTCTTAAAACATTCCATTCGTTTTATTACAATATCTCCATAAGCAGTGTTAAGCATAGCGAAAATTTCTGTCGCAGAATTTCCTACTGTAACTCAAAATTTCACAGCAACTCGTTGCTCTTTCAGATTATTCATTTTGAAATCCGCCAAACGAAAAAATCGCACTTTTCTAAAAACCACGTAGCTAATTAACAAATGAAGATATCAACAATCGGAAAAAGACGCTATAATCAGCAGATCTGAGCAAGCTTAGCGATATCAAGCGAATTCCTCTGGAACCAACTGGAGACGCAATTCAAACAGTTCGCGTATTTTTTGAACATACTATGTATTCTGACAATATTCCTTAGTCGCTTTTACAATATCATATTCTTTGTGATA